AAAATGAAAATGTTATTTAAAAATATGTGATTCTCTACATAAATCTAAATCGTCTAAATCTTATGTCTCTGCCATCCATCGGTAGATCAGTCAACATCCTCCGTTTCAACTCGTTCAGCCTCGACACCAACAGATTCATCGAATCTCAACTACAGTACAGAAAGTTTCACACCTTCAGCTTCCTTTGAAACCACCAATCAGTCTGTGAGCCATGAAGAGGAGAAAACATCTGACGGTAAATCCAAACACTCAGATTTACTCTAATCTGGACTCTGTTCCCAACATGTTCTGCTGAGGGAGTCCAACAGAAAAGCAGCTAAAGATGAATATTTTCTGATTTTATTCTCCTTGCTGTGTCTCTTATTTTGAAATGTAAAAACTCTTCAGGGCTGCTGTCTCTGTTTGTATCTGTTTGTGTGAGCGATCAGCCTGATGCTGTGTGTGAAACGTTGTGCAGAAACGTGGCGCCTGATGGCGGTGGCTCTGACCGGGGCTGGCATCCTGTTATCTGCGGCTCTGCTGGTTCTCTGCAGACGGAGGTGTCACAGACTTCTGACAGGTAAACAACAGGAAACACATTCTGTGGTTCAGGGGCCTACAAACCCAGAAGAACCGGGTGAGAGATCAGCAGGGGGAACCATGCTGCAGTGAAGGCTCATGGGAACCAGAGCTGCCATCTGCAGCCAGGCTGTGACACATGAGGCCAGCTGATTCCTGGACAGGAAGTGATGTTGATCGCCTCCCAGCGCTGCCTTCAGGGCAGCCTGGAGGAGCGGGACCGCCTGGTGCAGCGCGCAGACCCGTACTGCCACCATGAGACGCAGACGTGGGGGTGGCTGTGTAAAGGTTGTTCTGGGTTCAACACTTCCTGTGTGAAAGAAGTCAAAGGTCGCCTCCGCCTGCCGTCTTCATGGGAAATTAAAAATGACACAAATCTAATTTGTGTTCAGATAAAATCCATCTTCATCAACTCTGACCTGCCAGACAGCATGATGCTGCCACCACCATGCTTCACCATCAGGATGAGTTTCCTTCACTGAGGAATTTTATACGAATAAATTGGATTATTTCTCTTATAACTGTGTCAAGTATGATAAAGTTTATCGATGCAGTTAAAAACAAGCAAACCTGTCATAACAGCAACATTAAGTTCTTGCAGAATAAAGACAAACATTTCATCATCCTCCACCTGTTTGCCACGTCACTTACAGCGTGAAGTGAAAACAGAATAACTTCCCTCTTTAGGTTTTAATTTTACTACTGACGGATTCCCTGTAAAGGACCTGAGCTGTGGATCTCTGCAGCTCACCCAGATTTAGCCAACACTCTCCATCAGCCAATCATCACTCTGCAATCAGGTTCCATGAAGGCCATGTGACCCAGCCAGCCAATCACATGAAGCCGACGGCCAGACATCCTCACATTAAGTTACTCCAGTCTCAGCACCAAACTACGGGACTTTTTAAAACCACAGATACCAGCAGTCTAAACAAATAGCAGGTTGCCATGGTAACAGTATGGTTTCAGTATGCGTCCGTTATGTTACCATTTGCTTCCTGGTTTCACTGCTTGGTACTTAAAACAACCACAGAGGCAACAGAGTAAGATCTCAGCAGGAACTCTCTGAAGACACATTTAAAAAAGAAACAAAAGAAGAAAGGAGGATTTATAAGAAACAAACTCATTTTACAGATTGAAAAGAGTTATTCTCTGTAAAATTAGTTATTCTTTGTAAAATAAAATGCTCTGCCAGCAGGAGGCGCAACATGTTGATGCTGTTTGGTAGTTTTATTTTTTAGGCCACGTTTAGTCTACAATCCTCACCAGCAGGTGGCAGTAATGATGCATTAAGTTATTGGCCAATCACCATAAAACAAGAAGAAGAAAAACCAATCACAGTACAGAGACGACAGCGTCAAACCTAGCAACGGGTTCACCTACACCTAGCAACGGGGTCACGGGGTGGCCCACACCTAGCAACAGGGTCACCCACATCTAGCAACGGGGTCAACCACACCTAGCAACGGGGTCACAGGGTGGCCCACACCTAGCAACGGGGTCAACCACACCTAGCAACGGGGTCAACCACACCTAGCAATGGG